GGCAGATACTTCCAAATATTTATAGGTAAATGTATCTACTAGGACTTGAACCCAAAACCCGCTCATAGAGGGTTGGATGCCTAGACCACTAGGCTGCAAGATCCCAACAGGGCCCCTGAATATGGAGATATCACATTAATCGAACCCCGTTGTATGGATTGAATTTTTAGTACTATTGAGCTTAAGTGTAACCTTGTACAGATCCAGGTTTTTGTACTAATAAACATATGTGATATCTTCCTATTATCACCGCAGAGGTTCCAATGAGTGTATTCAGAGGCCTTATCCCAACCCACTTTATTTATATATTATAATAATTTATTAATATAATATAATATAATATAATATAATGTATTGTTTTTATTAAATATATTGTATTGTTTATTTCTTATTAAAAAAATATTTTTCACATTTACAATAAAGTTATCTAATACTTGACTTTTAAAATATGCAGTACTTTTAAATATACTCCCTATTATTTCTATTTTTTATAATAAGTATTAATCTTATTTCACTTATGCTTATACATTGATTAATATTTTCTATTTTTAGCATTTATACAATGCTGATAAATTACTAGAACAATATATTTTTTTCTAATGTGTGGCTATATAAATAAAAATACATAAAATTGATTAATTTGTGCTATTGTATTTTAGATTAAAAGAGCAATACCATTGTTTTTATTCTTATTTTTCTGCAAATTTATTTTAATGTAATTATGAACTGTTTTGATGCAACCAAATCTTTTCATTGATTAGTTTTATTGTGATTGGAATATATCTAAATAATTTTACAAATGAACATAATATATGTGGTTTTTCAAAAGTAATAATTAGTTGTGATTGGGTTAAAAAAAGAATAACAAACATAATAAGTCTTAACTAAAGCATCTAGACTTATACGATTTTAGAGAGTTTTTTATTGTTTAAGTAATGAAAAATTTCCAAAGTTGTATAAGTCTAAATACTTTAGTTTTAAACTTGTTATTGCATAAAACCAATCCCATAGATCTGCATATTTTATAGCTCATATCTTTTTTCTATATACAGTGGTGCATCAAATATTTCTATTTTCTTGCCTTATTATATACAATTGTCATTAGTTAATAACAACTTTTGGTTATTTTATATAAATATTGATGTTATTTACCATAAGCGATATGCTAGTAATATTATTCAAGTTTAAGAACGAAATAGTTAAAGATGCAATTTTATAATATAAAACAATACCCAGGGTGTAAAGTTGTTTACCCAAATAAAGAATTTATTTGAAATAGTAAATATAACAAAGTATATATTAACTATAAATTTGATAAATACACAGGGTATAAACTTCTTTGCCCAAATGAAAAATTTGTTTAAGATAATAAATATAACAAAACATGTATTAATTGCAAAAGAAATCATGATAGAAGGAGAAAGCAGAAACCTAAACTAGTAATTACTGATTCAACCAATTATATTGAACCAGTTAATCAATCTAAAATTACTAGCCAAGAAACAGAACAAGTAAATGATGCTAAATACATTAAAATCGATTACTTTGAGGTAGGCAACTTTGTTACAAATAAGATTCAAAAGCTAACAAAAAGTATAAGTACTGACAGTATAGCTAATATGGTTTACAATACATAATTTTTAGTAAAAATGAATTTAGACAAACAAAATATAACAGCAAAGATAGCAAAAGAAATTGCTAGCCTTATTATTACCAAAATTGAAAGCAGTAATGATTTTTTATAAATGTGGGTTTAATTATTATTTTTTTAATTTTTTTTATATTTGTACAAATTTTAATTCTTTATTTTGCATTACCTAACCACCCAGTTTTTTAATTTTTTTTCTGTTTCAATCATGCCAATTATAAAAACATATAATGCAAACCAAAAAATTAATTATATATAATCTAATATTTTTTTTTTAATATATTTTTTTGTTATAGCTATTAAAAAGCAAGTTTATCAAGAAAATTTGGCAGCACAATTAGCAGATTCACATATTTGTGCTGCCATTCAAGAGAATCTCAAAGCAAAGAATGTAAAGACTCTAATTGTAAGTGGTATATATATTACGATTGTAAGGACAGAATTTCCATATAGGTTGATACAGTTCTAGGTGTTGTAAAGGTGAATATTTATCATAATTCTTTTCACCAATGTCCAAATTTTTGTGCTGAGATAACAGACAAATTACAGGAAGAAATTAGGAAGCTTGCACATCTTACTATAGCTTAATTGACAAATTATTTGCGATGTCAAGAGGTCAATGTTTCAAAATTTTCATACAAATGTATATATTACTAGAAGACAGGATCTCAGATATCTCTAATATAGATCATATTTGGATTTTGGCCAATTTGGCCTAATTTGCTAAAAACTAGAATTTTACTTTTTCTTAAATATCTCTGGATCTAGTGATTAGAATTGAACTTTTTTTTAAAAGAAGCGTTTTACTGAGGGCTTTCATTTAAAAAAAGTTCATCCAAATTGGACTGCTAGTTGCTGAGATATTTACAAATATGGGTTTTTTTACTTCTTAAATTTATGGAGGTTTTGCTAAAAAGTTCATATATGACCTATATCCTAGATGTCCAGGGTCCTTGAAAAACTATAGCAAATCAAAGCTTATATTAATGTGATAACAACCAAGTGGAGTCTACATGCAGGCTGCTTAATGAGTATAGAAATCAGGATTTTTACAAATGCCTAGACTTACAAAACCTAGAATCTATAGCTATTACATTTATAACTCCACTGCTTAAAGAAATAAATAATCTCAATATTTGTATTATTAAGATTTATATTGATACCACATATAAAACTACATGTGGCTATTATGGGTTTTATAATATTGTTGCTAATGTTAATGGTGCTAGTTATTCAATAGTTTACCTAATAATGGATATGACAAAAGCAATAGATACAAACCCCAGTACAGAGAAACATTAAATTATATTAGAAGACTTCTTGGCTGCTTTTAAGATAAATCATAATAAAATAATAAAGTCTACTCTTCCTATAACAAACTAAAGGTTCTAAAATAAATAATTAAAAAAATAAAAATTAATTAAAAAAAAATTAAAAACAAAAAAATAAATAAAAAAAAAAGCTTAGCATAGTAAATTTTAAAAATCTATAAAAATTTTGAGTTCTTTATATCTAAAGCTTATTATATTTAAAGTTTGTTATATTCTAAGTCAACTGTAATAAAATAAAATAAAAATATATATTTTTTAGCTTAAAAACATAATTAATTGGAAGTTCATAAGTAAGCCAGAGAGTGATATGATTCAGATTACTATATAAATTTACTATAGTACAAATGTGACCTGCACGAATCTAAAACTTTTTTTATACTAAGTTAATCACTCTTCTAACTTAAGAGACTTTTGTAAAGCTTGTCAAAATGCATCTAATAGTAGTTAGAATGTCAAAATTGGCCTGGTGGGTGCTGAGATATCTTTAAAAAACCTTTTTTTTATTATGTAAATTTCTTTGCAAAAGAGAGCATTTTTGCAAAGAAATTTACATAGTAAAAAAAAGTTTTTTAAAGATATCTCAGCACCTATCAGGCCGATTTTGACATTCTAACTACCATTAAATACGTTTTGACAAGCTTTGCAAAAGTCTTTTAAGTTAGAAGGGTGATTAACTTAGTATAAAAAAAAGTTTTAGATTTGTGCAGGCCATATTCGCACTATAGTAAATTTATATAGTAATCTGAGTTACATTTTACTATGATACTCTCTGGCTTACTCATGAACTCCCAATTAAATTAAATAATTTAATAATTTGTATAGTTGTATAATATAAATTCACAATTCATCTTTATAGATAAAAACTTTGCTAAAATAAATGCAGCATTCAATGTGTGAGGCAGTTCTGTGGTTTAACTTTGTGTCTGGTACATAAAACAGGCCATGAAATGCAAACTTAAGAAGAAAGTGAAATTATTAAGTAATTCTAGATTAATAATTGTAAATTATAATATTCATCAAGCAACTAGTGAATATAATTATTTGCTCTTATGAATTTTAAAAAAAGATTTAAAGCTAATACTAAAGTTTAAAGCATGAGAAAAAAATTAGGCATGCCCACAAGGGCATGTCTTGTGCTAAGGCATGCCCTTTCTAAATTATGTAACTAACATATAGTTAACAAATTTGCAACATGCTAAAAACTTTATATGAGGTGTTAGTAAAAACCAAGCAAATTGTTTCTAAGTAAATTTTTTTAAACATTAAGTTAATATATCTAAACAACTATTAAACCATACTTAATAAAAATTTTTTTATTTGTTGTTTAGATACTTTAACTAAATGTTTAAAAAATTTATTTAGAAACAATTTGCTTGGTTTCTATTGACACCCCATATGTTGATTTAGTATCTAACCTTATTAACCAATCAAAATATTCTTTATAAATCACATGACAAGGGCATGCCCTTTGGCCTTGAGGCATGCCTCATGCCCCTGTGCCCTAAACCCTAGCTGATACAGAAGCACTTCGATATACACCCATTAATTCCTATAGATGCACAAGGGAATATAATAGAACCAGAAGCTATTAAAAAAAGTGTTATAGAGGAGATGTATAGGTTTTGTGTCGAACATGAATTACGGTTAGTTTTTAAAGATCTCTTTTTTTAAAAAAAAAAAAAAATTTTTTTGAATACTTTATTTTTTTTTAGGTTACTTTGGTCCTATCTTTGGACTAATTGGTATTCATCACGACGATGGTATCTTTGGGCACGGTCAGCAAAACCAGTGAAAGACTACTTCATGACACCCTGGAAGTATTTTAGCGATATCCAAATGATAAACTTTTTATTGTAGGTGAAACAATAAAGAAAGTTGCAGATGGCGTTCATCTTGATTTCTATTAAACAGAGTTAATTAACCAATCATCTTTCGATAAAATTGTAGATCCCTAAAAATATGCTAACGCGCTTAATATCGACATTATTCTTAGCATTCTAAGTGAACTTACAATAACAATAATGTTGAAAACAATGTAATATTTTGTAAAGGTATTTTCTATGCAAATGATTCAGTACAGGCCCTGGCTTTAATTATAATTTGAAAAAAAAATAGAAAGCCAAAAAATGCAAGAGCAAAACGAATTCTCAAGAAGCGTGAACCAAAAGTAGAAGAAAATGCTAAAACTGCAATTTTTGTTCGTGGCAGTACGACAAGTCAAGTGGTTAACGATGCATTATCTGATCTCGTATGTGTCTTTTCCTGCATAAAAGAAAAAATAGCATATCTTTTAATTTTAATTTATTCAAAAACATAATTAGTGTTGTCTGAGAAGATCTAATTCAATAAACTTTACCAAGAAAAACAACATTCATCCGTTTGATGATGATACATCAATGAATTTCTTTTGCGCAAAAAATGATGCATCCTTGTTTGTTATTGGATCACACTCGAAAAAAAGACCTCATAATTTAATTTTTGGAAGAATGTTTGATGGACAGGTGTTAGATATGATCGAAGTTGGAATTGAAAAGGCGATCACCATGAGTGAAATAAAAGTAGGTGTGTTTATTTAGTATCTGCTATTGTTATTTATATGAAGTTATTTATAAATTTACCATTATCAAAAGTCACAAAAATGTTCTGTGGGCATGAAACCTCTCTTTATCTTCAATGGTGACTTGTTTGAAACTTCACAAGTCCATAAAACTTTTAAAAATATGATGTTGGATTTCTTTCGAGGCCAAACTTTAGAATCAATTAATATTTCAGGATTAGAATATGTTATTTCTATAACTGCTACTGGATCAATTGTCGATTCTGATAGTACTACACCATCGACTTCTGATGGAAAAATTTTTTTCAGAGTTTATACAATTCAGATGACCAAATCGGGACAAAAAGCACCAAGAGTTGAATTAGAAGAAATGGGACCAAGTTATGATTTCAAACTTAGGAGAACTAAATTTGCAAAAGAGGAGGTTTATAAAATTGCAACCAAGGTTCCCAAAACGTTAAAGGTATTTATGATAAAATATATTTAACTCTTTTATATAATTAGTTCATTGAAGTGATGTTAAATGTTTCACGTTTATAGCCAAAGAAGGTAAAGAATATTGATGTTAATGAAATTGGTGACAAAGTGGGTCACATTCATCTTGGAAGGCAAGATTTGAGTAAGCTACAGACAAGAAAAATGAAAGGTCTCAAGAGAATACCCGAAGATGATGATCAAACAGAAGACTGGTCACATAAAAAACGGAAAGTTTAGAGAGGAGTCATAATAGTTCTTATTCCTTTGATATTTTTGTAAAGTAGAAAAGTATTAAAGGTGTGTTCCCTTTTTTATACGATTTACATTACATTGTTAATAATGCTTCTAGAAATTTTTTCTTAATACTAACAAATTTGTTATGTAACAACTAACATTATCAAAATTATCAAAATAAAAAAAAAAGTATATTAAACCAAAAAAAAAATTAAGCTATAAATGGGATTATAGCTTTTCTATTTTTTGGATAATCTTTAAATTCTTTGCGATAAGCCTTATGTTTCTTGATAGCCCATAGATACATTTGATAGAATCCAGCAACGATAAAAAGCCATGCTATAAAAATAATACACAGTTATTAACGATGGACGAAATTTCGAGATGTTAATTTGTCTTAGGCCTTACCTGCCAATGAATTAGTCAAGACACAGATACTAAACCAGGCGACAGTCTCAAAGAAATAATTGGGACAGGAGACCAATCCAAACCCATACCCGTAGGGAATTTTGCGAACGCGAGTGCCCGGCGGACGAAGGTTTCGAAGCGTGATATGAGTACTAAAATTAGAAATTTGTGCATACTAAAATAGGAAATAAATATGTTTTAATTCATAATCATCAAAAGTTATAAAAGAACAGGATTTTTACTCACCACAAAAACCGCTACGCAAGCCCAGATATACCATTCATTGCGTTCACCACCCGAAGTTCCTGATGCATTCCAAGGACCATAGACCCAGTATGCTATATTTGCACCACTCAAAGCATGATAATGAAAAGAATTTTTAAACACATTTCTGAAAGGCATAGTGCCGTGTGAGAAACGATGAACAAAGAGAGTTTCTAATTCGCGTTTTATAAAATGGGCCATAATCATGTAATATGTAAATCTGACCATGAGAAAAAAAAATTAGCAAGCAAAAACGGTGATATCATAAAAAAAACGCATATGTATTTGAAAAAGTCATTACTCTTGCATTTTGCTATGTTCAAAATCCTCGCCATAAATTTGAGATTTAAAATAATAAAATATTGGATGAATGACGATAGGACCGAGATATTCAATTAGAAATACCATTTTCCAACTTATTTGTGGACCTTTTTTAATATATAACTTGATTAAATTTTGCAATGTCTATAAACGAAAAATGGATTTTTCATATCTCACCTAAGTCTTTGAACGCAACGGTATCACCATTCTTTATCTCATATTCATTCAGAGTTTTACCCTCTTGCAATACCTTTTCATTAAAAGTCAAGCGTTGACGGTCAGGATAATATTTTGGTATTTTTTTGTATATTGCTTTTTTCAAGTCATCGACTGTTGTGTCTTCTGGAAGGTCAATTGTAACAGGAGGTTTTTGAGTTTTTCCACGAAATGAAATTGTTATTTGCATTTTGGACTTTTGTATTGAGCACGAAAGTGAAAGGGGACATGATAGTGATAGATATGATAAATATTCAGGCGATACCGATTGGGTGGATGATAAATAACGATAACTGATAAGGATAAAAACCTCGTGAAAGTAAATCTGCATGACAGATCTACTACGTATAAATTAGCGTTAGTATTCTTTGAAAGGTAGTGATTGTATTAATTGTATTAACGTTAAACGGTTTTTTCTTATTATTCTTTAATATTATATATTTTCGTTTAACGTTGAAGAATAAATATGGTATTTTATTATAATTTTTTATTAAAACAGTCATTCTTATTCTCGCTCTAAATTCTTTTTTCATGTCTTAAAGAGTAATTTAACACTTTACACAACGACCGCTGTAATACTTCTTGATGGTGAAGGAAATAGAATTCTTGCAAAATATTATGGCAATAAAAATCCATATCCCACTCCAAAAGAACAAAAAGTTTTTGAAAAAGGATTATTCGATAAAACCAGAAGAGCGAATGGTAATTTTTATTTTATTTTATTTTATATATTTAGAGGCAATTTATTAATTTGATACTTAGAAATCCTGTTTTTTTTTTTTTTTGCTCATTAGGCGAAATTATTCTCTATGATAATCATGTAGTTCTTTACCGTAGTAATATTGATGTCTTTTTTTACGTTGTTGGATCCGTAGAAGAAAATGAACTTTTGTTAAGCACTATCTTGAATGCATTTTATGATGCAGTTTCTAGCTTATTAAGGTTTGAATATTTCATATTCATGGTTTGTGAGATTAATTTTTTAAATAAGTCGAATTTTAAACAAATTTAATGAAATATTTAGACATCAAGTTGAAAAAAGAACAATCGCTGATAACTTGGACCTTGTAGTTCTTGCTTTAGATGAAACAATAGATGATGGGTAAAGAACTTATTTGTTTCGAATGTATTTTATATATGAGATGTTGTTAATTAATTCAGATAACCATTTCTTTAGCATTGCTTTGGAAACCGATTCAAGTGTTATTGTATCTCGCGTAACTCGACCCCGCACTGATACTACAGATATTCCTATCACAGAACAAACATTCATTCAAGCATATCATACGGCAAGAGAACGAGTTACTGAGCGATTGTTACGTGGAGTATAATTACTTTTAAGTATAGTTTAACAATAATTTTAGAGGAAATTAACAGACGGAATAAGTTATAGTGTGTATAGATTAAATTAACAACACGTCTCATTAATTTGATATGAAAATCCTTGTAATTTATATACTTAGGGTTTTGAAAGTTCTAATTTTCATTTAAAATCATAATATAAAATTTTTGATCAAATGCAGATATCTACTATATAACATCATCTGATACTTTAGAGGCCCCTATGAATAAGTATAAAAGTGGAATCAGCACATCAATGGGGGAATTAAAAATATTTACGTGCAAAAAAAAAAAAACAAACCTCGCTTTCATTTGCAAAATTAGCCAAACTTTTTTTCTCACAGCTTCTTTGAAACGTGCTTCAGAAATTTCTCTTCTAATTCTTTTCCTCCTAATTGTGGGTTTTTCATAATATCTATTACGGCGTACTTCTTGACGTATTTTATTATTGTTTAAGATACCCCATAATCTCCTGTAACACTTCATAACATTACCAGAAACAGGAACCGATCTACCAACTGTTGGAGTATACATATGGTACGATGGTTTGGTCAGTACTGTATGGTCTGTACAGTGATTACTGATAATAAATGTAAGAGTATATATATATTCAGTACGGTACGATGGTTTATATGGTCTGTACAGTGGTTACTGGTAACAGGTAATAAATGTAATGCGTGCGTACATACCAATCGAGGATCAGGGACACGTAAATATTATTTCGATTAAAAAGATTGATTCTGATATTGGCAGAAATCACATGTTTAACCAATTAAAAGCCAATCATTTTATGATCACATGATAAAAATTCTCCAAAAAAATTTCGAAGTAAAAAATTTCGAAAAATTTCTGTGTCACTGTCGAGGATGCAGTCACATGAGCCTCGACCTCCTGATCTATGCAAGATAAATTGTACGATTTTTCTTCTTTTATTTGCTATCATATTTTGACAAAAAATAATAGTCTCTATGTTGATAATACAAAAGAAACACGATAAACATTATTACAGCTCGTTCGAAATCCTCAGGTTGAGAAAAAATATTTATTACAGCCTATATTGAAGGAAATTATAAATAAATGCTGGTTCTGAACGTAAGGAAAAGTTTTTTTATATAAAATTATTATTTTTCTTAAGAACCATTACCGAATTAATATAAAATTTAAATTATATATGTTGAGTTTGGAAAGTATATATTTTGTATATTCTCTGATTCGATTTCATTTGTATAATTTAATTCAAATTTTACAATTCATTTGATCTGTTCGTTATTATTATTAAGTAGTCAAATTTATTTTTAAAATATAACTTACTAATTTTGTTTCCTAGAAAGCAATTAAGGAAATCCTTTCAAAAAAAAAGCTAATATTTAAAAAAAAAAAGGGATTTATAAAAGCACGAAAAAATAGGAAAAAAAAAAATTTTAAACCAATTTGAATTTTCCGGCGTCCTCAATTGTCCAGCAAGGTTAAAAAAAATTTATGTATCATTATTATGCCGTACACTACACAATTTTTATGTAAAATATATTACCCGTACAGTACAAGATTTTACCTTTTACATCTTATCTTCCTGACTATACATGCCGTAGAAATTAGTTTCGGCTGCGCCGAAAGTATTTAGGCACCGATTTTTCAGCCGCAAGTCATAATTTATGCCGTAATCCGAAACAAATGATCCAAAAATCTAAATTAATTGCCGCAATTTGTCTTATAATAATTTATAAAATCGAATTTTTTATTTCATCACTACATCAATCGATGATATATCAATTATATATACATTATTACTTTCGGCACTATATCAATTATACTCGGCACTATATCAAATTTTATGACATTAATTATGACTTTAGGCATTGATCATAAGTTGTGGCATGAATTTTAGATTTAGGCATTGCCGCATGTCAAAATTCAGGTAAAAATTATGCCGCAATAATTTCTACGGCATGTATATTCCTGACATCACTTTTCTCCAATTTTAGCTTTTCAGAACTGACTGAAATTAGTAATCTCTTCTTCCGTATATTTTCTAGTTAATTTTAGTTGTAAGACTTCTTGAATATAGAAAATTAAGTAAACTCCACAATCGTGATAATCGTATCGTACATAATCTCTATATCCCGCAGCTGTTGGGCCTCTCGTTTCTATATGATCGCATGACGGGGGTTTTATGACTTATAATCACTACTTTAATCAGTAAAAAAACCGGGTTTTTATCAATGCAAGTTATTTCCGGGGCCGGGGAAATAACTTGCATTGAAACTCGGTTTCGTCATAAAACTCCGTCATGACATCCTATAAAAACGAAGAATAATACCCTTATTTCGCCGCTACGGGGAAATAACCCGGTAGATCTCCACCCTTCGGGCCCCAGATGACTAGGGATGTACCTCTTATTCCCGCCGTTGCGGGAAATACCTTCTTCGGGACGAGATATTGAGGGGCTAGGTGTGTACATAATAGATAGTGGAGGATCAAAAGGGGTAGAAACTTTAGAAATTTTATTAGACTTGGTATGCTTTTTATGAATGAATTGAGGGGTACATTTCGTTAAAGTATGATTATGCAAAACGAAGAAATTGTTTGTGGTGGGATTTTGTCTGGTGAAATTAAGATTTTAGCACGTGATAACAAACTAAATTAATGATCAATTTTCGTTAGCGATAATTACGAATTATATATATATTCAAAGAAATATATTTTTTTTTTTAGCATTAGAAATTTAAAGTATAAAGTAATACCTTTGCATAAAGGTTTGAATTTTGGTGAACCAAAACCTTATGTAAGTCACACTGATATAACTCTTGATAGTGAGTGAACTCCTGATATATATAGAGAAGCTAAACTTAAAGCAGAATATGAAATGCACTCGATATAGTGATACTCTCGTACCGCTATAACGAGAGTCATTCGTATAATGTTACACTCACACTGATACTCACATAGATTATATAAAGAACTAAATTCATTGGTCAGATAATCAGCATGAAAGTTAGTGGGAGAATAATCAGCCAATCAATAGACATGACTTGTATTAACACGGACTATATTTATATACCGATAGACGATTATTGATCAAATATTGATATAGCGAGTACCCGTTTTATGACGATAAAGTTTCGAAAAAGACCTGGGAGTTACGAAAATAGAAAGTACCGGCATTATAAAAGTTTGACCAGTATTACTGTATTATACTGTATACAGTATTATATTATTGTATTGTTTTAAATATATATTTTTTACAGTACAGCATATAGTTATTTTACTAGAAGAATAGAACCTATTAAGGGTCCGAAGAACTGCATTTTTTGTTCTGTGAAACACCCCTGTGCCTAAGTACTAGTGCTGATAAATAAAGATGGTGAAATGAAATTATAGTGGTGAGATAATTTCATCACTATTGGTAAAATTATGTATTTGAATTTGAAATTAAATTTCACCAGCATCTGATTGCAATTACAAAACTAGAGATAATGAACTTAATTTCACTAATTTAGAAATTATTTTTCGCCACTCTGATTTAATTTTCACCAGCGTTTTTTTTTATTTTTTATTTTTTTTTTAATCCAGTAATCACAACTGCAAATTTGTAACGTTTATAAATTATCCAATCAAATTTAAAGTACTATTGTTAGCTAAGCATGTGATTTGTTTGATTTGTTGTCTGGTGATTTATGTAATTGCTATTTGTAAACAAGTATGTAGGACAGCGTACATACGTACTTAACATTAAAATCCTATCGTTATTTTGTTCAGTTGTAATTTTTTGTAATTTCCTTACTTTGCTAAAATATAAAAAATAAAATAAAAAAAAAATATGAGCTCAACTGAAGACGTTAAAAACGTACCTACATCACCGCCTACAACAACCTATAAATTCAAAGTTAATAAGACTTATCACAATAAAATGCATATTCCTCGGAGAAAAACTATTCAAAACTTTTTTGAGTTTGTATGTTTTTTTTTTATTTATTTTTTATTTATTTTTTATTTATTTTTTATTTAAAGAAAAGCGATGCACTTACTTTATAAAGTTGAAAATTTATTTTTGTTTTTATTTTTTTTTGTTGCCTTGAATTGATTTTAAACAAACTTAAATTGATTTCAAATTATATTTTGATTTCTTAGCAAAAAAAATGCCTTGAAATACATGCCGAATACTATCAAGGAATTTCGAATCTCTTAAAAGATACCGATGTCTCATTATTCTTGGCTGCACCATCTCCGGGAATCGATCCCCTTCAAATAATCAACGAAACAGGAATGGTAATTAGCGGCATGCTTGCTCCCGGTATGAGTGGATACTCTGTTGGCCAAACTTACAGTAATAGAAGATTAAAAAGAAATATTGGGGATGATGTTGAAATAAGTGGTGAAGAAGCTTATAATTCCGAAAATCAAAGAGCACATAAACATAGGCGAGCGCCAAGACAACTTTGGACAGATGATGAAGTAGAACGATTGAAAGCTGCTTATGATAAACATAACGGCGATTGGGAATTAATTATTAAAGAATTCGAACCTGAAAGAACTAGGTATGTGTTTATTATTATATGTTAATTTATTAGAAACAGAGATGGTAATCAATTCAGACTGTTCCTAATCGGCCCACTTGAATAATATAAGAAAGTGTTATGATGATCGAAACCATTCGATTAAATTAATATTTCTTATTTTAACAAACTAATATATTTTATTAATAAATCAATTTAGAATCCAAATTTTCCAAAAAGCGCGCCAAATGGGACTTCGAGCTGTTGAATCTGGGAAATTGATCGATTTATCAAAATCGAATACGATCATTGAGTATCATAATTCAGAGATGTTGGGCAATGAAAATATTGATGATGAAGGAATCGAATACGAACGAGAATCTAGTGATCCTGGCCACTCATGAAAAACAATCGGCTAAAGTTAACTTTCTGAATCGGCTTATTAAGATTTCTTATAATAATTCGCGCATAGCTTTTGGTCATTACAAAAAAGTTTTTTTTTTTTTTGTATATATATTGCAAATAGCAAGTAATAAATTTTTAAATAAACCGTTGATGAAACTTAAAGGGATTTTTTCCCTGACGTTTACTTGCTTCTGGCAAATATTTTCGTCATGTGATCAAGTGTATTTATATATTTTTCATATAATATAACGATAAGATGACCAATACAGCAATAGGTGGATTTTTGTTCATGCTAATACCATTTAGGAAAACAGTTAGATGAGTAAAAATATCAAATTAGTTAATTTAAACTAGTTGCTGTAAATTAGTTTATAAATATTTTTAAAGTTGAAATATATAACTATATATAGTTTAAATTATCTAATTTTTATATCTGTTAATATTTGCCAGCTATACAGTATTAGTTCGTCCCAAATTTGTAATGTGAGTGATCAATAATATCACGTGAAAGAGTCACCCATAAATGAATGCCGTGATAAATAGATAGTTTGCATAACTGCCTTTATTGCTTTTATTGTATTACAATCATATAATTTATCAGATCACCTTCAGCATACTGATATTTAATGCCTAAACGATCTATAAGACGCTATATACGTGACTAAACAGCTCATGTAGTTTATAGAAAATCCTTTTATAAAAGCAATCATCTAATAAACATAATGAACCTGACGCTCGTAAATAAATTATTAGGAAATATTATCACAATATTTAACACAAGCAAAACGGTAGGTCTCTCAAATTGTCGAATTTGTTTTACAAATGATACTTATACATTAATTGAAAGTCTATATTTACACAAAGGCAATTTATAGTAAAATTTAAACTTGTTTAATTTAAATGATTATTAAATAATAGTCTTGCGAATTAAAATTTAAAAGTTGGCCAGATTAGTCTGCAATGATGAGATCGCATAACTAAGCTGATAAATTTTGAACGGCGGAATCATCACAAGAACTTATCTATTTAGAGATTATTAAATGAAATCCAATAAATATAATTTCGATTGCATTTATTACGTATTTATTTTTAGTTCTCAAGCTCTATTCGTTTAAAATTTATATGTTTTTACTGTTAAATGTAATCATAAGATATTGCACACCCTAAGACTCCTTGGCAATTTGATTGAATGCGTGGCATTTTTGGATCTACCACAAAATCCCAAAAGCCGTTTTCTCGAAGGAACATAATACCGACTAAATTGGGCAAGCATTATAACTGACCGTCATTCGGGATTTTTGTATGTAAAACCGGCATTTTTATTTAATTTTAGATTTTTTTTTTTTTCTTCTAAAAGAATGTTTTTTTTTTCTCGATTCTTTCAAAAGATCTATAAATTCAACACCTTTCATCGTTTTTCTTCATTGTTTACAATATTTTATAATTCCGGAAGCGATACAATATCAACTTATATATTTTGCGTACGTACAAAACGCTTAAAGTTCGTGAGAAAACTACATTTTAGGGGTTCAAATGTTTTTCCTAAAGCTGAACTGCATATATAAAGTATTGGGACATCTCTGAGATATTTATGTAATTAAAGAACTCTTTCTAAATAATATTGAATAGTGTAAATAAAACTATGTAATCAAATTGCCAATTCAATCTTACATACCTTGGCTTCGATATTTGTAAAACAAGAATTTTATGTAGCGATAATTTTACATGTTTAGTAATAACACGTGTACTGCACTACATTAAAAAATTAAAAATTAAAGCTTTACATTGGTTGCACTTATCTCAACTCTCCTACAAATAACAAGGATACCTTAAAAGAACGTGAGTAGATTATTTTAGATTTCCTTTTACACTGCAGTTCGGTTAAATTAATATGACTGACCCAAAAATAAGGTCGAAGTCACAATCCTTATCGGAACCCGAGTCTTCAGAGTACACACCTTTGAAGACTATTTCAACAATAAATCCTTCTGATTCGACAAATCAACATAATGCTTATTTAGACAAAAATATGCATTCAACTAATAGTATTGCATTTGGTCAAATGCGTCGAAATAATGATGGCAAGTTAAAAAATTTGAATATAATTTCATTCTTATTTAGAAGTGGACGAAGATATTTGCCTTTCTTTGTTATATTAGGAGTTTTATTCGTATTTACTTCAATATATATTGTAAACACAATTTTTAGTGATGATTTGGTAATTGGTAAGTCATTTTTGAAAATTGACTTCTTTTTTTTCTATTGAATATTAATATTTAAAAAAATTTTTTTTAAATTCATTATCGTACTTTTTTTTAATGATTAAAGAAAGTAGAACATTTGATCCACAACCCTATATAGGTTTACGTCAAACTTTAAAAACAGATATTCCAAGAGGCTCGTCGATTTATCATGTTAGTAAAGAATTTGGTATGGCTACAATGGGTGGATTAGGGCATGTTGTAACAGCTTTGTCACAGGGACAAGCGATGAATAGTCGGTTGAATGTCGGAGTTATAATGCCTTGTTATAGTTTTATACCAGATAATTACAAGCTTGAATTTCACTCTTATTTATCAATTAAAATTCAAAATAGTAATGGTGAATTGCAAATTGTAAATTTCTTGGTTCGAAAAATACGTTGGATTGCTAACAAAAAGATTAATATCTTGAGTGATAAACCACAAAATCCACGAGAAATGACTGTTTATGTAATTGGACCCGCGGTAAATCATAGTCCTCTAGATTTGGCTTTTGAAGCTTCCAGTCCTCTTGAAATATATTCAACTCCACCTGGATTATCTCAAGAATGGATGAATTTATATTTTTGTAAAGCAGCAGCTGAACTTATAACATACTTGGATAAATATCCGGAAACTCCTCTTTTTGCCAGACGTACAAATAGAGGTGTAGATGTTGTGCATCTTCATGGGGCAACGAATTCTTTTGTGATAGATTTTCTTAAAGAATTATATACTGAAGACCAATTTAGTAAACCATCTCCTCCAATAGTTTATACTATGCATGATTATTTAGAAGAGCAATTATATTCAACCTTATTTACCAACTTTAAAATGTTCAAAGATTTAAGAAATAATACTGATGATTATTTAAATTATATTCATGGTAGTCGACTTTATCCATCTGCTTATGCAATTGATAATGCTCAAATAATAACTTTTGTTTCTGAACCACTGGCAAAAGAAATGGTAGAAGGTCCTTTGGATTTTAGGGCAAAGGAATTAATTATGCCGAGTATTCTTAACCGTGCATCCCACGGACATTGGGTTGGAATCTCTAATGGTGTGGATTTTACTCATTTTAATCCTTTCGATGATGTTTTACTTTTTGAGACCGATTCACATTTCCCAAAGAATATTAAAACTTTTGATTATGAGCATTTTATTGAGGAACAAATCGATACATCATCACAAGAACTTGTTATTGATGCTAAATTTAAAGCTAAAAGTTATTTAATAAAAGAAAGACTTTTAGATGCTAGCGATTTAAATAGAACCATAGTTTTATATATCGGTCGATTTCAATATAATAAGGGTGCAGAATTCTTAATTTCAGCAGCTGAGACTGTGGCCGCTCTTGACGCTAAATTAATTGTTATGGGTCAGGAAAATAATTTTCCTATTAATAAATTGAAAAAACTTCAATCAAAGTACCCACAACATTTTAATTTAATTGATGATTCAGAATTTCAAAATAATTGGGGAATCTTATATCGTGCTGCAGCAGATATACAATTTGTACCTAGTCTTACTGAAAGTTTCGGTTTAGTTGCAGCTGAAGGGTTATTATTTGGTGCCACAGTTGTTAGTACGGGTGTAGGAGGGCTAAAGGAATTTTTAGTTAATAAAAATGTAGATAATGCAAGTGATAAATATAATTCTTATTTATTTGAATTAGTTGATGGACAATATAATAATCCTTCAGTTAAAGGGATGGTAAGAGCTTTAACTGAGGTAATAAATGATTATAAACGATTAAACAATAATTTGCATGAAAAAGAAATAATTGTAAGAGATTTGATCAAAGATGCACTTAAATTGAGTTGGCATCGACCGGAGGGACCTATTGAACAATATAATAAGGTATATAATTTAGTGATAAGATCTCGACGAAAAGAAATCTTAAGGAAAAAATCTCTGTTTACTTATAAAGAAGTTTAAATTTTATATATTAATTTAGTTAAGTAATTAAGGGTGTAATTGGGCAATTAGGTATATACTTAATTTTTTTCTAGAAAAACAAAATGTTAATATAATTAGTATAGTATTCAAATAGAAACTCAAATATTTAACTTAATATTAAATCGCAAAATTTCTTTCGATATGTATGTTTACGTTAACAAATACTTTATCAATTCATTGTATAAAGCCTATATAAATAGTATTCATCTTTAAAAGACCTAAAGTTTACAAAAAGTTTATAAACCTGGCCTTTCGCTCTGACTAAATATTAGGTCGTAAATGGTATTAATGTTTACACTTTTTTAAGCCCGGTTAAAAGTATATCAAAAAAGTTGTTTATTAGATAAAGGCGACGAATAATTTTAATTTTTTTAATTTCAACAATAATTTCATTTTAAATATTTTTTAATATAACTTATATTAAAAAAATAATTTCACAATTTCAGCATCAAATAATTTAAACAATTTCTATACCTACACTGTAAAATCTTAAATCTCCGATCGTATTACTAAGACTACTGACTGAATTAATATTGTGTTCAATTAATAAAGATTTTGAACAAAATATAGCGATGAATTTTATTTGAAAAAATTATTTTTTTTAAAAAAAATGGATCTTAATACAGTACATTTATTAGGTGGGTATTGAATTAAAAAAAGACCTGGAATTGATTATAAATTAGTGAAACTCTTATGAAAAACAATCTATTGCATATCACATTTATTATTATTATTATGTGACATTTTATTCCACAATAATTGAGCAAATCTACTCATGTAAAATTCTAATTTACTCAAAAACAATTATAAACAAAATCATATTCAACAATGAAAAATTGTAAAGGATTGATTATATTTGGTCGATGAAAGTGAAATCTATGAAGCAATGAAAAGAATGTAAAACACATAGCATAAAATATTTCTAAAAATTAGGAATGTGCATTTAACTTGGTCGAAAAGTAATAATGTTATAGCCATCATGCGAACTAATCTTATGACATTTCTTAAATCGCGTATTATTGAGTAGATGAGGTCATCCAAGCATGATAAAGAATAACAGGAAGCTGCAAAATATCTTTCTTTCTCTTATGATTGTGAGTCAATTTACGAAATTGATTACTGATAATATGACTTCGTGCCACACCTTCTGGCGATACAAAATCGACAGCCACTTTGATGCAACTTGTATAATTACATACTTGGTGTGCACATCCGGCAGGAACAAATACTACATCTCCAGGATTCTGATAAATTCTCCAACCACTAACACCTTCTTCTTCCAAAAGACGATTACGCAAAGTTGAATCCATATAAAAACATTGATCGTGAATGGGATGATCAATTAGTAAGCCTCTTTCGTTGGCAACTTTGCGCAAGAATCTACGAACGCGCGGTAGATCTGAAAAATGATAAATGTCCCAAACAGCCGCAGATGGCTTGAGTTTTTCATGTTCAAGTCGATTCCTAAACTTTGGTGCATAAGCCATCATATTAACAGCATCTGTCATATCTAGGTGAAGGTTTGTTGTACCGTTTCCACCATCGGCATCTTCAGAGCCGTAAGCATTATACATTTTTGGTCCAAGATCAGGACGATTTATATCTGTTGGCAATCTATTAGCCAAATTTAAACCACCTTGACGAGTAGTATATTCCTTAAATGGCAATGCATTCATGAAATCTTGAAAATGATTAGGAAATACATCGGCAAAATCATCCGTTGATGGCCAGTCCTTAATAAAAATTAATACTTAATATATAATTAGACTACATTATAATATTATTCTATAATCAACTTACCTTTAGCTTTAAGCACGGATATTTCCCTTTAAGAGTAGAATCGATATCTTCTCCTTTAAGAGTAGAATCAATATCTTCTCCTTTAAGAGTAGAATCGATATCTTCTCCTTTAAGAGTAGAATTGATATCTTCTCCTTTAAGAGTAGAATCGATATCTTCCCCTTTAAGAGTGAATCTAGAATCGATATCTTCAAAACCATCAAAAAATTTTTGTACATTCATTGGGTAAGTCAAACCAGTCTCACAATCCACACATTCACATTCTATTTCACCATATTTTGTTTTAAAGTATTTGGGTGTCCATAAATTGTTTGATAGTCGAGTAGACGTTTTCTTTAGCAAGAACGGGTATCCTTTCCTCCAAAAATCTTTAAAAATTTCTTCTGTAAGTTCATTTTCTTTCCATTCTATTTTTTGATGACTATCATGAAGTTGTTGAGAACGATCGTGTGGACGGATAGTAGGAAGTGGTAACTCTGGTGTGATGTTAACTTCAGAATCCGACTGTGTAGCTGGAACATTGCCTTCTAGTATTTGAGGAAGTTCAGAATCTGGATGTGTAGTTGGAATATTGCCTTCTGGTACTTGAGGAAGTACAAAATCTGGCTGTGTAGCTGGAATATTGCCTTCTGGTACTTGAGTAAGTTCAAAATCTGGTTGTGTGACTGGAATATTACCTTCTAGTACTTGGGGAAGTTCAGAATCAGGTTGTGTAGCTGAAATATTGCCTTCTGGCATTTGAGAAAGTTCAAAATTTGGTTGTATAACTGGAATATTGCCTTCTGGCATTTGAGAAAGTTCAAAATTTGGTTGTATAACTGGAATAATGCCTTTTGATACTTGGTGAAGTTCAAAATTCGGTTGTGTAGCTGAAATATTGCCTTCTGATACTTGGGGAAATTCAAAATCCGGTTGTGTAGCTTGAATATTGCCTTCTGGCATTTGAGAAAGTTCAAAATCCAATTGTGTAGTTGGAACATTGCCTTCTGGTATTTGGGAAAATTCAGAATCCAACTGTGTAGTTGGAATACTGCTTTTTGGCATTTGGAGAGGTTCTAAATCAGGTAATTCATCATCATTAAATTCATCGATGTCCATACTATCCTCATGATCATTCATTCTTTCCTCAGTTTCATTTAAAAGGCGTTGTATTATATCCTTATCGTAATGATATATAGGCAGCATTTGTTCTTTATTGTGAGGTCGCCTAAAGCTACATACGACGGTCTTTGACTTTTTGCCCACATCCCATTCATTATAGCAAGATAAACAAAGTTCTTTACCACAAACACAGCACATCCAATACCCGCTAAATATAGTTGTCTCACAACTATCACATAATTGACATATCTCCCTATTAGGAATTTTACGAATATTTGCATATTCAAAATGAGAAATCTCTCTTTGAAGAACCTTTCTAAACGTTGAGGCTATCATATCTTGCAATTAAAAATGATAAAATAATCTCAATTAAATGGTACGTGAGCAAGTTAATAGTATAATAGTTTCATGGATCTTTACCAAGAACGTAACCTTGTTTTTCATCTGTTGTTTCTTTAAAATCATAGGTATCTGGTGGATCGGGGATAGTAATTGACGTAAATTTTGGGCCATAAACAAGTTCATCATCTTCAGAGTCTTTCTTGATAGTTCCAAAAATCCGAAAGTTTACAAATCTACACGTGTCAGTTTTCTTTGCTAGACCTTATAGACGTAGACAAATATAAAGAAATTAATTTCATAGATACTTTTAAACAAAGAAAAAATACTAATAATAATAATACCTACATGATGAACAACGCTCAAATTTACCATACGCAGGATTCATACATCTCCTGGTTTGTATATGTTCGTCTCCTGGAACTTCACTAGGATATACCGGTTCAGTTGACACTACAAATGTCCTTGTTCTTTTTTTACCTTTACGACGTTTAGCATCGGGTGTTTCTTCGTTATCACTTGATGCATATGATTTACGTTTAGACACCCCTTTTCGCTTTGGCCTTTCTTGTAGATTTACAGCTTGGGTTGGTGGTGAATTTTTTCTATTTTGCACAGAGTTATATACATATATATTATTTATCAGGATTATAGATCCTATTATAACATAAATAAAATAGGAACAAACTTTGAGTTACGCTGCACTTTTGGTTTCTTATTTTCCTTTATTGAAGTATCCGGAATGCTTTCTGAATTTTGAACCACTAAAAAAAAAAAAAAGTAATATTCTTACTAGTATTTTATTTTATTATAATAAAGCTACTAAAATATATACATATATGTTTTTTTAAGGAAAAAGAAAACGGACCCTCATTATTATGTGGCTGTTGTGAATCAGTGTGAGACAGTCCATCCGGCATTGCTGCCGAAGCAAAAGTTTCAGAAAGCTCTGTAAGTTCGCTTGATGATGTACTAGGAGGTGGTGATAAAGTTGAAGCGGGAGAAGGTGGCTGTTCCACATTAAAAGAACGCCGCTGAGACAATAAAGAAAAAAAATAAGTGATAAATTAAATTGTCTACCAAAAACCTTTAAACTTTCCCACATGTGTACCTGTCCTGTAAAATATTGCCTCACTTCGGCAGTAGTACATTCTGCCATCTGTGCAATGAACCTGAATGATGATTCTGGATTCGTTATATGACTGTATGTCTCCCAAGCTTGTTGCAAAGCAAGTTTCTTGCGTTTATCTGAATCGATGTCTCTCAAAGCTGTAACAAATCTCATGTTAATATCATCGGTCATGATTTTCGTCTTCAAGAAACAAATTGATAAAATTGATAAAGTTTGGAAACATTGGCCGTTAATTAAATGAACACGAAATAAAAAGAAACGAAATTAGCATAGTGCTAAAAACGGCCATCAAATACGAGTTTTAAACTGATAATCATGCAAAGAATTTATGGGATTGGCTGTGGATAGCATTTATTCTATAAAGAGATTGGTTATTTTTTTTACCTTTTATTCTTGGTCAAAAAGTTCGAATTCCTGCCCAAAAAATGAACTAAAAATACAAAGATACATAAATAAAATGTCAAAACTAAACCGATATTAATGAATGATAATTTAGACGCGATGTCACATAATATATTCTTTCACAAACACACTACACACAACAGACAGCTCGCCTTTTATCAAGGTTCGATTTTATAAATAAGCAAAAGAAAAAAAGTAGAGATATATACCTTTAAAAAGAACGTTTTCAAAAAATAAGTTGTAAAATGAACGCCTGATATGTTTATTAAATGAGTAATTATAAGTATACAAAGGTATCAAAAGTAACGAGGAAAATGAAATACTAACGTTCCAAAAAAATTTGATTTGCATTCAAAATATCGTATCAGGTATGATATGCTGAGGAACACAAAAAAGATTTGATTCTTATTGATATGATTTTTTTTAATTTTGCAGCCTGCAACGTCATCTTGTGACTAACGCTAACTCTAATGCAGTAATGCTCTGTATTACACAAATCATAGATCATATAATATCGAGTGTCTCATTACGTTTTCTTATCCAAAATCCCACGTATCTCGGTCGTTTTAGTGTGTAGTCTAATTTGTATGTATAAATGTTAGATCGACTTTGAAATAATTTTTTATAATCTTTTGCTCATTGAGTCTTTAGAAAATTAAAAATTGGAACCTTGAGTTTATAGTTAGGAAAAGTAAAAAAGAATGTATCGTTTGAACAATTTATAGATAAAATAAATATGTAAAATAAGTAAAATAATTTAAAAAAATTTTTATATCATTAATTATCAACAGAGAAGTCTAGAGAATCTTTGTATATAATTTTGTGTTTAAAATTTTAAAAATTGTTATATAACAATATATTATTTCATCACTCAACGTACTGTTCTTTATCTCTAACACTTGATGATAGTTAGAACACTTTAAATTATGACTGTAACCTTGATCTCTACGCCACCGGCGGTCGTAACGCCCGAACAGATAAATCAATTACAACAAAATCCTCCAGATTCTGGATTAATGCCACAAATTGCTCGTCATACTCAACAAAATGTTCGTGTATTAATCACCCCCCCTGCGTTTGATGCTATGCTTGGGAAAGGAGCTTTATATGTAACTGAAAGGTACTACTAACGAAGGCTATAGTTTTATGCGATAAAAAAAGAGATTTATTATTAACATTTACGTCCTATAATATACTTGAAGCAAATTGTATTTTTTTTCTCGGGATACAAACACTGGTCTGGCAATTGATTACCCAACAATAATAATGCATGCAATCTCGAGACAAACATTAGATAACACAGGACCATGTATTTATACACAATTGGATATTAATCCGAATAGTTTAACGGGTGTTAATCGAAGTACAGAAAATCAGAGTGAGGATGATGATAGAGATGAAATGACAGAAATGAAATTTATTCCTGATGATACTAGTTCTCGTAAGTTTCATATTTATTAGGAAAATGATGTTAACAAACAAATATATATTTAAGCGTTTATGTTAAAATATTGAAATTTAGTTGATGCAATCTTTGAAGCTTTATCTGAATGTGCCGCATTACATCCTGACAAAGAATTTATGGAAGAGGATTCAGATAGTGAATTTTATGGCAATGGTGATAATAATGAATGGATCACTGCCACACCAAGTGATGAACAAGAACTAAGTGAAGTTGGAAATGTAAATTGACACAATATCAATTTCGTTAATCATTGATTACGATTTTTCTTTTAATTTTAAATAAATTTTCATGTTCAAATAGGCATCACGGGCATATTTGGATTCTATTATTGATCAATCAAGTTTGACAGAGCAACAAAGAACATCTCCAGATACAAATGAACATGATGAAGAGATGTTTGAGGATGCAGATGAATAAAATGTAATAAAGGTTTGTAATATTTATTTAATATGAAACAAATTATGGACCTTATTTGTGTGTTTGATAATTTTGAGATTTGAAAGTTGTATTACATATACATGCATGCATCCAAACCTAATGTCAAGTTACAAGAATATGAAAGAGGAAAACAAGTTTTTTTTTTAAATATGAAAAGATTTGTGGAAATTAAGGTTCTTATGTAACATGATAAAACGAGAAAAAGCAGTAACCAAAATATTATTAGAAGCAACACTAAAGAGTTGAAAATGATCACATTGATGAAATTATGAAAAGATAAAATTTAAATTTGTTGGTAGTAATAGACTACGTAGTAGTAGACCCTTTAACTTTTATATATGCACGAGAAAAAATGATGGTATCATATTATCTAGATAATTTTGTGTGTTTTAAGTTTTATATCTTTCCTTCATGAATAAATCGGAGTTATACAAATGCCAGTTCAAAAAAGGTATACTTTGCCAAGATACAGTATGTACATCATTGTCAATTAGAACTTTCCAAATCTCTCATTTTTTCATGCGATGCAAATAAGTTACTCTCTAATTACACATTTTCTAAATGCAAAATAAATTTATTTTATTTTTGTTCTCAGGTACAACATATAAACATTCTAAATGCAGATTTCTTTCTAAACTTTTACTATGTATAGCTCATTTTATGAATATGGTCTCGCTAAATGCGACAAGATTTAATGTATTTTCAGCCTTAACTGAATTATAAAATTGATATTTATCATTTTCTTTGCAAGCTATATTGAATTCTAAATCGAATGATGCAACCTTTTCGAAGTACTTTTGTTTTTCGAAATAGAAGATAAAACTCTCATTTTTTTAAAGGAAATAGAGAGTCACCACCTATTTGATAGCGGATTAATTGCATAACATATGCGATAGCATACGTATTTCACATTAAAAATACTGTATGTATGCAAAGAAACTTTTTATTGTAACTGGCTAATTTTTGTAGATCATTATAAAAATCCTATTGGTTAATTGAATCTAACTTTACTACTGTATGTATACAGATAATGCATATATAACTACAGTACAACCTCCCAAAACCGATAGCCTGCTATAACCATGAAATTCACCATGTTTGTTCTATAATTCAAATCCGATAATCTAATAACACAATATCCAAAATATATATATATTTTTTTTAATATTTAAGGTGAGACCAATATCCAAAATATTAAATACAGTATATTGTTAAAATATTTAAAAAGTAGGCTAATATTTATATATATAAAAATATTTATAAGAGTAAAGACATTTAGGGTATAGACATTTATCAGGTGATTTCCACCTCCTAAGTCTCTCCCCACCTGATACTAAACTAGCCAATCAAATTCAAGCAAATAATATATATACAGTAGTTTAATTTTTATAATTATTTTTTATAGTTATATTTATATTAACTCCGGCTATAAGTTTCTTCACAAATACCAAATCAAATTAAATAAAATTTTTACTAGAGATATAAGTGATATTGGGCTACAATATATTAAAATTTTAGCCAATTTGGATTAGTAGTATTTGAGAAATTGCTTAAAAACTATATAATATTTTTAATATAATTACTTATAGTTTTTAAGCAATTTCTCAAGAACTACTAATTCAAATTGGCTGAAATTTTAATATGTTGTAGCCCAATATTACTTCTATCTTTGGTAAAAATTTAATCTAATTTGGATCAGTAGTTGTGGAGAAAATCACAGCTGGAGGTAATATAAATCTCAATTTATAATAATATATATATATATATATATATTTTTTTTTTTTTTTTTTAATATTAAGGTGACCACTTAGGCCCCTGGCACTTTATTAGTTCAAACGGGTGGGCCGTC